CCTTTTAACCTAGATTATCAGACAGAAACATTACTAAAAAAAATGTACAACCACTGTAAGAACCCAGTAATCCCTTGCTGACATACCATACAACTCATTGCTACTGGCTACTAAAGAGTTTGTTCATTGTTCTGCCATCTGTAAGTGGAGGCGGACTAACAGTAAGGTTATCGTCGGTAACTCAGCTCAGCCGCCAACAAAGCTCACTGCTATCCAGCCCCCCCACCCCTTCCAAAAGCCATGTCTCTCAACCTAAACCATAGCACTATTCAGGACAATTTTGAAATCCTGAGATTGTAGAGAATTTCATTCCATTTTCTGGTTGAATGTAACGGTTGCTGAAATGTATCTGAACTGATTTAAGCAGTTACTCTTCACTTTTACTCAGAATATACCAGGTAATTCCTAGGCACACATTTGGAGTTTAACTAATTACAGAAAAACTGAACTTGATCAATGTAAAAACAAAATCACAAAATAAAATGATACAAATTATAAAGTTGTCCCAAGTACCATACCATGAAGAGTATGAGTTAGTGAAGATGTAGCTCCAATCGTTCTTTTCCTTAACATTAAATAGAAAATGGTTTCACACCCTGGCCACTCTACTGCAACAGAAATGGCCCTCAGTACACAGTATATATCTTTTGTCCTTGCCGGGAATCAATGGCTGACCAGCCCACATTCAGCCACTACACTGAATGAGCTACCCCTGCTCTAAAATTAAATGTTCTTTATTTGTATAAACAAGGCTGCAGATGTGAAAATGTATTATTGAAAAATGTTGAGGACAATATTGAGACTGATAATAGTGGCACAGAATATGTTTTGGTAAAATTCTGTATTCAGTCACAGCCTCCTGTCTGATGGATACCAGGGTCCTTTCCTGGGAATAGGGTGTGGCTGGGATCTGATGCTGACCACTCAACCCCATATAGTGCTGGGGTGAAGAATGAGTAAGTGCTCTATCTCCTCTCCCCACAAGCACCTACATGGCATGTAGTGAGACAGCTTTACTTTTTTACTTTTATGCAACAGTTTATACATTACTATCAACACACGAAACAGCAAACAAAATTATTAACTTAAAACTTGAGAACAATACTTTAATCTGAACTAATGGCATAGACACAAAATTAAAAATATTTGCCATACAAATATGTATATGTAACACAAAGGGTAAAGGAGTGAGGATTCATAGCCTACATAAGCTATAATTATTAATTATCCAAGTTCTGAAACTGGACTTTGTAAATAAAATATTACTGTGCAATATACATGATGATATGGGTGCAGATCATGTATATTGCACAGTAATATTTTTATTTACAAAGTCCAGTTTCAGAACTTGGATAATTAATAATTATAACTCTGAATAATTATACTAGTTAATAATCAGTATTAATTACTACTATAATTGACTAGTTCTTGTACTAGTTAACAATATAATATTGTTATCATCAGAAGATAAATTATTGTTTTAGGTATACATTTTGAATTAAAATTTTGATGTACCCATTTATTGAGTTATCAAATAAATCCTAATATTTTTATTTGAACTGAATTTCTGAACAGTTAAGCAATAAAGTTCAGATTAGGATTTTATTTGATAACTCACAATAAATGGTTACATCAAAATTTTAATTCAAAATGTATACCTAAAAAAATAATTTCTCTTCTGATGATAACAATATTATATTATTAACTAGTACAAGAACTATTCAATTATAGTAGTAATTACTACTGATTATTAACTAGTATAATTATTCAGGGTTGTATGTGTACCTAAAATGTTAAATTTAACTGTGCTGGCTTAGTATGTAAATTCAATAAGTCTGAAATCAATGTTTCACCACTACAAATGAATAGTTAAACAGACAATGCAGTGGAACCCCCATCTGATAAATTTTTCTTGCATGGTCTCAGATCCATCACCTCATTTTTTATATTTTCACCATTAATTTGATTTACTCTCTCACAGTGGAAGTTTATTACGTAAAACCACCTTTAATTATAGTTCAAAATCCATAAAAGGACTGTGTATACAGATCACAATACTCATTTTTAAAAGGTGAAATGCTCCATTTATGCACAAGAGCAAAACCATGAAGAAAATACATAAAGTTAATGTTCTTTCTTTCATACAAATAACTCTGAACACTTCAACTTCTTACAAAAGTACAAATACATATTTTCATTGGTTTTTTAATAAAAAGTTGTTATATGTGCAACTGCAAGAAAATGTATCTTTTATCAATTATATTTAGTGAATACTAAAACTGCCTTTCTCCTGCTATCATTCTTCACTGCATAATGAACACCTGAAATAATAAAAAACATATACTGTCAAACCAGTGAACCATCAGATAAAATATTAAACTACAGGTAGCCCTTGATTTACGACGGGGATGCGTTCCTGGACGAACCGGCTGTACAGGCCCTGGCTATCCTGACAGGAATTTTGTGGTGTTCCTCAATCCCTGTAACCAACTGCAGGGATAGAACTTTAAATTAAACTTTGACCACATCCTTCAAAATCCTAATTAATATTCATCAATCATCCCATCATTCAATGCTACACAGTCTGAGCTGCCGAGAGCATAATTAAATAAATAGACCTTAGTTCCTGGCTAACAATGAATCACTTTTAGCCCCACACTTTACGATGGCCAAAGCCAAGACCATCTCAAACTGCATCAGTGTTATGATTCAGCCTTGCAACTCTATACCACTGAACTGATCTCTCAAATGAGCTACATTCACACCTTTCTCTCTTGCAGTTTGCCTCTTCAGGGAGAGAATGTCTCTCACACTGGAGTTTTAATCCATATTACCTCATTGCATGATAAATGCTTTATTAATATTTATTAACGTTCACTAATATAACACACTGAATGCTTTTCAGAGACACAGAGCACTTAAAGAAGCTCACTTTAAACAGGTATACAGTATTTGAAATTTTGTTTATATTATGAAGTGTACTAATTTCTTTAATTGAATATTAACCATAAACACAGACAGGCTATAGTAGGTCTCTTCTAGCAACTGAAGACTGCTGACAAGAGTGTCCTCTCAAACGTTGGTGGACATCTACCAGACTACAGGGTGCAACAACCCAGAAGAGAGAAATCTTTTCTTATGCAGAAGTAAAATGCCTATATATAGACTGTCATGCCCAGACCAATGGTTTCTCCCTTTATACAAGTGTTCTACTAAGATTAACAATCATAGTTTATGTATCTCAAATTATGTATGTAATTAATTATTAATAATAGAATTGAAATTCAACAGATATGAAATGGCTACTTACCTCGAGGCACAAAGAAGAATTCTCCTTTCCTCATCTTCCTTGTAGACTCATGGACAGTCACAATGAGAGCACCTGCTGATATATGGAATACCTGAACACAAAGAGAAATAAATCGACAATCACAACAATCTTGAAATTGTTACATTCAGGCCCTGAAACATACAGCTGTTTTTTGTGCCCAAAATAATCTGGCTGACAAGTAACTTTCTGTTCATTTCCAATGATTAATTTTCTACATATAGTAACTTTTAAACTGCTAGATTATGTATATGGTAATAATTTAACTTAAAAAATATCTGCAAATAATAAGACAAGCTAACATTGGGAATGTGCAAAGGTTTCTTCTTTGTTGGAGCAAGAAGATTAATTTCTTTACAAGTCCAAAATTAATCTATTCTGGCCCATTTAAATCCACTTTATCCTGGTATCTTCAGACCAATTCATTTAAATATTTTTTATGAACAGAATTCAGTAAGTTTAACATGGCAGGGATATTTAATTTTAACCATGTTCTACCATGATAGGAGAAATAAGGCAAGTGTAGTGTGACTATCTTTTCCAAACCATACACACACATGAATCAACTTAAGAACAAATTACCCAGTCTTGAGCAAATTTAAAGTTGGAGAATTTTACAAAAAAAAAATGTTGAACCATTTTAATTATACTGGACAATTTTAGTGACCACTTTACCTATGGGAACAAATACTTTTTTTCACCTCATCTCAAATGCTAAAAGAATGCTACATAAAACTATTCTTTAACTTACATGGAAAACATAAAAAATAAATTGCATAAACAGATTTTAGTTTACTTCAATACACATGCACTACAGCATTAGTTAACTAAAACTGATCATTATGGTCAAAGATGACATACAGTACAGTTCAGTTAAATTTTTGTCCTCCATTTGGTGACATTTTACACTTCCAATCATTATGTTCAACTGCATTAGCTGTGGCTAAGCACTAAAGTTTGAACAAGCCATAAATAAAAAACTCTACCCTCACTGAATGGATCTTATATTCTCTTCAGTTAATTCAGAGTCATTAAACAATAAAATATAACAGCTGAAGTTACTATAACAAGTTACTGCAGTCAGATTCATTTTCATCAATAATATACTATGTCCATCATTAACTGGCGAAAAAATTAAAGCCATAGTAAAATACAACAAAATCATGTAAGGATTTTTTAAAACTACATATTAAAGAAGTTGTATCATTTACTGTAGCACAGGTGGCTACAAGAGTACACAAGCCAACAAAGAACTAAACTATGTATGATGTATTGCATAAACTTTTACATAAATGGACCCTCCAAAGAATGACCGAAAGGAAAAGAAACACTACTTACAAAATCTGAATCAATGACTGAATTTGTTTCAGAAAAGGGAGCTACTTCAGCATATCCAGTTGAAATTCCAGGAACTTCAAGACCTGTAAAAAATGTGATATTCTGCTCCTGACACTCGGTAATATCTGCCTCGACACGAAGCGTTGAGAAACATTCTGAAAAAAAGTATCAAGTATCAGGGAATATTTTCAAATCACTAAAAGAGTTTAAACAGAGCAGACCTGTCAAACATGCAACCAGTGAACATCTGTCTACATCATATTATTATTATTTAGTGTTCTGTCTGACGACAGGTCCATTATTCTGCCCAAAAAGAGTTCGCCAGTTTTCCCTATTCTCAGCTTCTCGTTTTAACTCCTGAAACTTCATCTTCTTTCCTTATTAAGATCGTCGGTTAGCTGTATCAGTCTTCTTTCCAGTCCTCGCTTTCCTTCAACCTGGCCTTCGACGATATCATTCAGTAATCCATTCCTTCTCATAATATGTCCCAGCCAGTTAGCTTTCCTTCGTGTAATCACCTGCAGAATGTTTCTTTGCTCTCTACATCATAATGTAAAGAAAATTATTATAAACAGATCACTCTGACACTAAAATGGAAATGTGTAACTCTCATATCCAGAACTATTGCTGTCCTACTGATGGGTCTTAATGTTATTCATCACATGTCTCTCAACACTTTTGTGCAGTGATATGTAAAACTTTTATGACAGTACAGATGCCAGGCAAGCTGTATCCTAAACCCTTCTCTTTATATCTAAATATTGGCTCGTTGGAATCTGGAGCCTCATCTTACCTCTTGTCATTAGGTATCAAGATATGCAATAAATAACACATCTTATTTGCATAACTACTGACCCCCTCCTTGAAGGTCACAAGAAGTTACATTTATTGTTCTACATCACTCTGTAAAAGTAAAGTTGTCTCACTACATGCCATGGAGGCACATTTAGAGAGAAGAGGTATAGATCCTGCTTATTCTTGACCTCAGCACTAGATGGGATAAGTGGTAAGTGTCATGCTTTGGCCATGCTTTACCACCAGGAAATGGACCTCAGTATCCATTGGACAGGATGCTGTGTGTACTCCACAGGTGGTCTAGATGCAGAGGCAAGAAGAAAAATCCTTTGCCCTGATAGGGATCAAACCCGTCGACCAGTCCATAGTTATACATTATACTGACTGAGCTACCCCAGATCCCTACATCATTTTGTAGATCTTGGTATTTAGTGGTTTTATAGTGCCAGAATGTTGCTTTCAAAAAAAATCAATGAATATGATCCTGAAGATAAAATTATGATATTTCAAGCAAAATGGGAACATGTATTATTCTACTATACAGCCTGTGGGATCACCACTTCTCACATGCTTAAAAATCATTACAAATGAAACAATACAATCTCCATCACCTTAAAAATAAAGTAAAAAAATCTGTACCGCTATGCACCATGAAGGCGCTTGGGGGGAGATGTGGTATAGTTCCTACTCATTCTTAACCTCAGCACTAGATAGGGGTGAGTGAGTGAGAAAGGACACCAGTACCCACAGGACATAAGGGTTCCAGAGCTAGTCTGGACAAAGAGGCTAGACGAAAATCCTCTGCCCTGGTCAGGGATCGAACCCGTGGTCCAATCCATATCCAGTCACTATACTAACTGAGCTATCCCTGCCACCTTCAGCGAAGTTTTTAATCAATGCAATAATTTAATTTACCCAAGTGGGTGGGTAGTAAGTGATAAGAGGATCCCCTCGCATGTAAGAAATAGTTTTACATTTTAGTAACAAATTGATGGATGACTTCTATACCCTTCCATGTTGAGTTTGTTTATTTATTTATGTTTAAAATGATCCTTTATGTTGTATATTTACATGGACTCTGTAATTTTTTATTGATAAGAAGTGATCAGTTGTAAGCCTGAAATGTCAAGAGGAGACGAGAATATCAACAGGATGAGGAAAACAAATGTTTCTATTCAAGATCATGGAAAATATAAGTTATTGCATGAAAGCCCCCAGAAATTAGTTAGCTGCCAATAGAACCCTTAAACTTTTTCATATTATTCATAAATTATGCTAAAATGGGCCCTTATTTCCCACACATAAATACTTTCAACCTGATTCTGACAGTAGCCAACTGGCCTGTATGGATTTAAGTTACTTTTTTCTTTGATCCTTCAAATCTCCTTCACCTCTATGCTTCTAGAACTGAATCAAATTTGGTACCACAGTATGTTAAATTCTTTCTACATGGAATTTCTCATAGTTCAGTAATCTTGCATAAAGTGATTGGTTTCTATTTTTGGCTACTTTAACCATTGGTGCCTGTGCATCATCTACCAGTTTCCAACCATGATGTCCAGCTGTCAAGTCACAGTATTGTACTGCTAAACTGTTAAACCCTGGGTTTTACCTTTCAAGGCTTGACATTTTAGAAAAATTCCATATATATAAACATAGCAAAAACCATAACATCATAAACGAACAGAACGCCCATGATTCCAATGTGTTATTTGACCTGGCAATAAACAGAAAAATGTAAATTTCATATGCAATAGTTGGCCACCCTGATTTCAGAGTTACCGTACACATTTTAAAAACTGACAGTAATGCCCATGCATCGTTGAAGTTCACAGGCACAGACGACACAACCACAGCTCACCGTAGACCAGCAACGGCCTTGAGACAGTGGACTAACAGCTAAGTGCTCAATACACCAACTCCTGTGCAACCAACAGCCAGTGGAGTGCTACTATATGGTTTTATAAAGAACTTACCTTTATGCTCTGCTGAAACATGATCTTTTGATTTATATTCTATGAATTAACTTTCTTTGTGCCACTGATGATGACCTCTTGAGGTCAAAATGCATTTGGCATTAATATCTTACATAGTGCAAACAGTTGTTAGTATGCACATTTTATATTCTAAAAAATAAAGAATAAGTTATTGAAGTAGTTCTAATATGGTGAAAGTATAATCACCTAATTCACATTCTCCACTCCCAAATGGCACCAACACTAATTTTCTTAAACAACTTTCTCTGGCATTCTTTTGAGGCAACTGGCATATGCTTTTCTCAGTGTGAACTGAAACAAAGAACACACTTTATTAAACACCATGAAGAGAATATAAAAATTTAAAAAGTAAATAACTAGATGATGATAATAATAATTTATTGGAACTATTCATTCCCCACTACCAGGCAGTTAACAGCTACCAAGCCTGATATGTTCTCATCGATGTCTCTGAACACACTATGTATGTAATCGAGTTTTCAGCTCCGGCTGAAACAAACATAGCTATGAAAGAGACTGAAAAATAGACCAAGGATCAAGACCTTAAGTTTGAGGTAAGACAGTTGTATCCTGGATTTACTGTCAAATTAGTAGTCTTCATAATCAAATTTCTCGGAGGAGTCAAGCTGTCATTGCTAGCTAACATTAAGCTTATTCCACGCATGCCAGCATAACGCTGAAGCATTACTCAGCCACATGCAAGAGGCCATGCTTCTCGGGTCGCTCCAACTACTGCGTGTGCGCACGATTCCAACTCACTATCTCAAGCTTCGAGCCGTGGCTACAGTTTCACCTGGTCTGCAAGCAGTTGAGGTATGACAACCCAAAGCCTGAAGTTTTTGGCTGTTTGTGGGCCAACCAAAAAACGGGTTAATATTAATAACTGTTTCCAAGTCACTCAAAAAATATTTGGCCAACATCCTGGGCGAACACAACATCAGAGAACTTCAGAAAACTGCCATTTTAGGATCTTCGTACATCATTCGAAAGATGCTGTTGTAAAATATATTGTCATCCCTCACAATAAAACTATATAATACATGAAACACATATTAAAAACAAAATGTATTTTGGAAATAGCTGCTGCACTATGTACCTCAGGGGCAAGGTTTGTCTCGAGTACATAGAAGTAAATACCCTATAAAATGGTGAACAGATGGAATAATAATAATAACAATAATACACTGAAGTAAGCAAAATAATCTCAAGGTATTATACTAGCTAGGAGTAAGTCCAGTATGCCTTTGGCTCAATGTGTTACAGTAATGTAACAAAGGAAACAACACATTTTACATCAAAGAGAGTATATTTATAAATATAATATGCTCTTCCTATTAACTGGATTTATCTTACATATAAAATTTCTTCATGAAGCGTTCTTAGTTTCTCCTTCTATTTCTCTCCATCTGTGTTAACATATTTGTGATGTAGATGTACATGCTCAACTTACAATACCTCACAATCTAAGTGGTTTAGGGGGCCGATGTAAGTAGCACTGCATTCTTAAATGTATAGAGAATAATAAAGTGTTATGAAACAATTTCCAACTGTTCTAAATTCAGGTGTAGATGCCAGTGAAGAATGTTAATGTTAACACAGTTTATTCAAGAGAGAATACAATTTTCAGCCTGTAATGAATTTTTATTCCATAAATGTAATGCAACACATAAAACCATGTGACATTCAGTAGCAGGTCTGAAGTATCTTTACAATACAGCATTTTCTCCCCAATTAGTACTTTTGGAACAATGTCAAACCTCATCATGGAAAAGTTACTGGCATAAGTTCTTTAAAAACACCAGCAGTTTTTAACAAGGCACCAAATCTTACACCATCATGAAAAACATAAGATACATAACTGCAGAGGATTGCTAAAATTGGTTTTCTTTCAATCCACATGCCAATGTCATCTTGAATTTGAGGCAAACACAAATGCCTTATTAATTGTTCAAGTATTATATAGGATCTGAAACTTTCATGATGATTTAATTCATCAAGCTCTTCTTAAGCAATAAGACAAGTCACACTTCAATAAAATGTTAGTTTAACAAACTTCCTTTGTTTCATTATCAGGGCTTATTTCCAGAACTAATAAAACTGCTTCAAGTTGTACATCTGTGCTGACATGTGCATATATACAACGAATGCAGCAAAGACATAAATATTAACAATTTATCAAATTCATAAATTCTCATTTTCATCTCAATTTTGTCTAGAACTTAAAAAACATTCTTACACATACTTAACAATAAGCTACTTTTTACAGAATGCAGGTGAGAACCTTACAGACATTATACTTTAATATTAAAAAGTACAACTTCATAAATGTAGAGTGAAGTCTGGATTACATTCATCATAATTTTATTTTATAAACTTGATTTATACATCCATTGAAACATTTAAATTGTGTAAATGGATCTATAATATCACATAAATAATAATGAAAATTACAATGATTTTATCAATAAACATTCAATTCTGATGAAAATTAATCTATAAAACAAATCACTTTACCAGGTTTACCACTCCACTGGCGAGAAGGAAGTCCAGAATCAATACCAGCCATTT